AGGTTAAAAATTCAAAATTACAAATTCTACCCAAGACAATGAACAAACCAGAACTTTTTGTTATGTCTAAACCGACTTGTTAATGTGTAATAATGAGCTTATCGTTTTACTTCTCAGTGACACCAATTTTGTTTACCTGCTAAACAAAATTACCTTTTATGCTCTATATACCGATCATTACAGTTATCATAGTTCTTTGGAACAATCCAAAGCTTAAAGTAGGAAAGAATGACTAATTGTATGAGATGAAATAAATGGTAGCAGTATTTGTATCAGTAATCCTTTATTCTTCATTCTTGGTATGTTTGCTAGGAACCTCAGATCAACATATAACTTCATTTTTTTGCTGACATCACAAATGGAAGAAAAATAGATGTGTTTAATGTAACACCTGTATTTTCTTTCTTTCGGGGTGTGTTGGAGTTTCCTAGGCACTGCTATCTCTGGAGCTGTCTTTTATCTCTTTATAGATTAACCTCTCACTATTTTAAGCAGCATGAGATCTGTCTTAGTTTTTGAGAGGCTTCTATTTGATTTCAGTATACACATATTTAATTATAAATTAGAATAGTTTCATCACAGAACATTTATAATACAGATAAAGCACAGAATAACAGTTACGGAGATCCAAGAATCAGCCAGAATACTATAATGATGAGGTTCAGAGCTGGAAAGGTCCTTAAAATTACATAGCCCAGCACTTATTTTACATTTGATTTAACTCAATCCTGTCTATTGTATTTTCTTTATCCTTCCCCATCATTCTCTTCCTTTATTATTTAGCCATCTCCCCACACACTTTTAAATAAAATACATTTCTTGTTTTTAAGAATGAGTGAGATCATGAGTTCATCTGTTAACTCTACCTCTTTCTGGACCTGTCACCTATTTCCAACTCCAGACATCACTCAAATCATGGGAGTAGGACTGGGGCTGAAGATGTAGATCAGTGATAGAGTGCTTGCCTAGCATGCAAGAGGCCCTGGGTTTGATCCCCAGAACTGGGGCTGGGGGGTGGGTGGGAATCACAGGAATAGCTCTGCTTAACACTAATAAACTACCCTATCAAGTATATGACCTGATCATTTCACATACACATTAGAACATGCAACAAATTTATCTAGGCTCAGCTTGGTTGTTATAAGTATATAGAATTACACACAGTTAATATTATACCCACAGAGAAAAGTCAACCTAATCACCTTTTAAAATTATCCTGAGTATCTATAATATCTGTATATTTCCATAACCCATCCAACTGTTAGGGAATATGACCAAAGAAAATAAAAATATTTAGCAAGCTTACTAAGAAATCCCATACAACCATCCTGATGGTAAAAATACTTCTTAGATTACAACTTATATGCTTACTTATAATGTAACACCTTGTGAAAAGCAGAATGGCCATGTTCAGAAAAAATAGGATACAAAATGTTCACTAAAATAGTCATCACTGTCCTAATAAGTAAGAAAAAGACACACTTTCAACTCTTAGATACAGATCATATCAAGTGAGCAGCACCAGGCCTGTTCTTTGTGACTTCTAGATACCAAAAACTATTTCTGGGACTCCTCACCAGCAACTCTGAAGAGTTGAAGCCCTGTTCAGTCTTACCATCTGGGTTCCTTGAGAAGTCTCACAGGGGTGACCTCTCAGAGAAAGAGGAGTCTATTGATGTGTTTCAGATTTTTAACCTTGGATAGAGACCCCTGAATTTGAGAGATAAATGGTTGAAATTTTAAGTGTAAACCATTCCCGCTACAAGCCCCAGAAAAACAGCTTCGTTTTGATGACTGTTTTGGTAACTATTGGACCATCACATAACTTTATATTTATTGGCATCAAAAGAGGGCATCTTTACTGTGGATAATATGTACTATTGTTTCTAGATAAACACTTCAGAAAGAAAAAACATCTTGAAAACACACACACCCACACAAGCAGATAACTCGAAAAGGTTTGACAGTCTGAGTCTTAGATATTGTCATAGTCTCCTAGGTAGGTCAAATAAAAAACTGGCTTTAAGAAATTTTCTTAACTATAAAAATAGAATTTCTCATTGTTTGCTTTTCTCTATTGCATTTTTCATAGGGTCTTTAAAATCACTGTGCAATTGATGTTTGATGATCAAAATGATGTTTGATGATCAAAGGGACAAAATTCCTTATGGTCAACTGTCCTCTAGGGAAAACAGATGACCAAAAGTGGGGAATGAAAGATCCCAATGTGGCAGCCCTCGTGGCCCCCAAGAATCTAAATCACACTGTATATGCCAGTTTCCTTCAGACCTTTATTAAACAGATGCATATATGGATATGGTAGAAAAGAATACTTCAGTGAATTTCTTCTAATATTACACAAATACTAAGAATTCTGTTTGCCATTATTATCCAAGACACTAATCTATAATTTGTTATAGCATCACAGCACCTTTTAAATATAGTGTTTTGGGACTGGAAATAGTAGTCTACCATGAACTCAGAAATGCTTATTTTCTTTTTATGAAAATATTTAAAATTTTTAATAGAAAAATGAGATATAAAGATATATGTTTATAGTTTAAAAAGAAAAAAAATAAGATACCAGAAATATGCAAGTGATAAGAAATCCACTGGAATAATCATATTCTGAAAATAAAAATATTTATTATACATTCCATTAAAGTATATGAAGAGCAAATTTATCTTATGATTACCCTAGTGTTAAGGCACATTTGTCCAGCAACATCAACTTTGATCTTGATAGACGTGACCTCTAAATGGCAGGTATCCTAGTGTATTCCAGAAGTTGAAATTATAAAATAAAATTTTAAACTTACAAAATCAAAAGTGCCATTTATTTTTACATATATAGTATTATTCTAAAAGGATATGCAGTGGTTGGCAGAAGAATATGTACAGGAGTAACCATGAACAGGAATGGTCCTATCAAACACAATGCTGGTGAACAGTTATTAAGTTTTTTTTAAAGAAATACTTAGGTGTATGAGAAGCAGAATAAACCAAAGATTACACTTTTACCCTAAAGTTAGAGAAAGCAGGCTTTCTATGGTTCGGGGGAAGGGAAAGAAACTACTAACACCTTAAAAAAAAAAAAAGCCTGGGAAGCGGGCGCGGGCCCAGTGGTGCATACCTATAATCCCAGTGATTCAGGAAGCTGAGGCAGGAGGATTGCAAATTCAAGGCCATCCTGGGCAACTCAGCAAGATCCTGTCTCAAAATAAAAAGGGCTGTGGATGGTGTCTCTGAGTTCTATCTCCTATAGCATCTCTCCCCGCAAATTAAAATAAATATGCTTTGGGTTAAAACCAGGAAATGAAGCAGGTAATATTTAAAACAAAATAGAACTTAGGGAGGTTTCCCCAGCTTTCACCCTATCCAAAGTATCGTCAAGGAACATCAAAAACAAATCAAGCTTGAATGTGTTATCTACTTTCTAAACAAAGCTCTATGCTTTACATCAATCAATTAAAAAAAATCAAGATCCACAGAGCAGCATTTTCATCTGCTTGTTTAAAAGAAACTATTTTTAGCAGAAACTATTTTAAGTGCCACAGTAAAGAAAATAGGTTCTAAAATGAAACCTAAATCATTTCACTAACCAAATACTGGAGAGAAGCTCGAGAGGCCATAACACAAAAGGAAATACATATGGAGAGCTGACACATTTCTGAGTTTTCAAAGGTCTTCAGGGAAAAGAAATCCCCGGACCATGGGCTACACTAGAAGTTTAAGGAATTCTACATGGCTCTTTAGTAATTCTCAACTTTGAGTGCATACACACTAAAATCGTCTGAAAATGTCTTTTTTTTTTTTTTTCATTTTTAATACCACTGCTTGGACTCTACCCAAGATCAATTAAATCAGAATCCCTGGTATGTAGCCCAGGCATTAGTAATTTTTAAAAGTTCCCAGTGGTTCTAATGTGCAGCCAGGGCTGAGACCCACTAAGTAACCTAGAAAAACTCTGAGTCAAGGATGATTGTAATTACTGTGTGTTTGAACTGTGTGGTGATAGAAAGTAACATTTCAGGGAGATATTTTTATTTTTTTTAACTCATGTTAGGATGCTCTTCTCAAATGTTTACTCTGTAGTGTTAGATACTAAGACCCCTCAAGATTCTAATAACAACATTTATCAAGCACTTACCTGGTGCCAAACACTGGACCAGGCAACACTTTTCCACCTCACCCTACCCCATTTTACTGCCCTCCATAAACACATTATCACTAATCTCCATTATTCTGCAAAAACAATGATAAAACCTATTAACCCAAGCCAGCTGATGAGGAGGGCTTATTTGCCCATCACAGAGCAGGTAGGTAGAGAAACTGGAATACAAACCCACACGTCTAATTAAAAAGCCATGCTTTTAATATTAGGTATTTATGTTTTAAAAGGTAGTTCAGCCACGTTTCACAGGTTTATGATGCATAAATATTTACCAAGTAGAAAGAAGGCATATAATTAATCTCATTCAGACTCCTTTTTCCAGTAACCAAACAAGTTCAAATACACAGAAACTATAGTCATCCTTAACTCCTGTCACTTAGCCATAAGTTCCTCTCCTGGAAACCATGTTAGCAGTTTTTTGTTTATCTTTCCAAAGTTACTTAATGTAAATACAAGCAATCCGTGCAAGCATATGTATATATAGACACCATACATTTGGGGTTCTCCTTCCTCATTTAAAACTAGAGCAGCATAGTCCACATACCATTTTGTGTATGGATTATTTCACATTAACATGTAACATGTAGTATTCCATTGTACAACTCTACTGTTACTCTTACTAACCAGTCTATTATTGATAGTCTCTATATTACTTCTAGTTATTTGCTGTTTTAAAAAAAATGTAGGCATGAACCTTGAGTTACATGACTTCACAAGTATGGACAGATAATTGTACCTGTAAAATATATTCTTAGATGTCAAAAGTCATGCCCTCCCCACTATTCCATTTTACTTTAGGCTTCAGAGAAACAACTCACAGCCAGACTTATGATGATTTATATTTATTTTATTCAAAAACTTTATCTAAATACCAAAACTGTACTTTTCATCTGAATAAAAAAAAATTAGAAATGTTTTTTCAGAATATGCTCAAAGACCAAAACAGCTTGAGGGGGCTAGTTTTAAGCCAAAGCGAAATGTCTTCATAAATATGCTGGTTCTCACTCCCCACTCAGAAGGTATCTGCCCCTGAGGACTCCACATCCCCCTGTATGGTGCTGACGCTCAGGGATTGAGAGCAATCCTCAGGTTTCATCGAGGGCAGCGTCACGGACATCTTAGCAGGCAACATCTGAGGAGTGAAGAGTGGCATTGCCTCACCACCTGCACAAAGGAGAAGTGTATTCAGTGACACCAGCAAATCTTGACTATTTTAGGTGCTTTTCCCCTTCTAAATAATAGGGGTGGGGGACCAAAACAAGGACTGCATGTGAGAGAGATACTTTTCTCTAGCTGATCAGTATCCATCAAAGAACTAAAACACACTTTCCCCTCCTTTCCTCCCTTGCTTCTAAGCAGTTAGAGAAAACATTTAAAAGTATACAAGTGTTAAAAATGGTGCGGTGAATTAGACAAAGGGGAATGAAAGGAAGGGAGGGGAAGTGGGAATAGGAAAGACAGTGGAATGAATCTGACATAACTTTCCTATGTTCATATATGAATACACAACCAGTGAAACTCCACATCGTGTACAACCACAGGAATGGGATCCTAATAAGTTATATTCCATGTATGTATGTCAAAATATACTCTGCTGTCATGTATGTCTAAAAATATTTTTTAAAAAGTGATGGTACAGGGCTGGGGTTGTAGCTCAGTGGTAGAGTGCTTGCCTAGCATGTGTGAGGCACCGTGTTTGATCCTCAGCACCACATAAAAATAAATAAAATAAAAAGTATTGTGTCCATCTATAACTAAAAAAATATTAAAAAAATAAAAAGTGGTGGTACAGATGATAAATGCCAGATAAGACTAGGCAGGGTAGTTAAGACCTAGTCTCTGAAATCCAGACCAAAGATCTTACTAGCTGTGTGACTTTGGGGAAGTTATTCTAACCTCAAGTTAAGTTTCCTCATATGTGAAACAGGATAATATATAAGGAAAAAATAATATTGGTAAAGAGCTCAACAACAGAGCTTAGCACTTAGTAAGTGCTCAAAAACTGAGAGCCACCATTACCACTGAAGGATATCACTGCTATCTATCACCACTGTTACCATTAAGTAAATAGCTAGTCCAACTACAAAAACCCACTATAACAGCTGGAAAACAGGGTTTGTTATTGGTTATAGAGAAAATATGATGTTTTAAAAAATATAAGTTAGGTAAAAGCATCTGAAAGCAAAGGTTGCCCAGGCACTTTGCTCTTCCTACTACTCACAGAGATGGACCTTCGACTCAGGATCATGCCCTGAATAATCATTACTACTGAGTGTCTGCTATTAATTAACAGAACTTATATAAGGGAAACAATATCAAAGAAAAATACTTAAGTGGTTATCCAAATATTATTGACATTTGACTTGGAAAGCATTTTTCTAAAAAACAGATTTTTCATTATCTTTATGTTTAATTAAATATGGAAAAAAATTCCACTCCATGATTGAGAGCAATATTATTATTGCCTAATATAGAAGCTGGTTGGTAGGCAGAGAGGAGCCAGCTTGAGATGAATATACCTATGTTTAAAAAAAAATTCAGAGTTCATTACCTATGTATCTCATATCTCTATCTGCCTTTACCCTAATTCACTTTTCTAAGTTTTTAGCACGTTATTAACTAACAAATAAAGAATGCCACCTTGGTATTATTTACAACTACAAAAATCCTCATTTTAAATTTCATGGATTTACTATAAGAACCTTACAAACAAATTCTTGTAACAATTCTTTGTGTGTATGTGTGTTGGGTGGGGTGGGGTGCTGGGAACTGAACCAGAACCTTTTACATGCTGGGCAAGAGCTTTCACTAAGCTATGTTTCCAGTCATTTTTATTTTATTTTGGGACGGGGTCTTGCTAAGTTGCCCATGCTGTCCTTGAACTTGTGATCATTCTCCTCAGCCTCCTGAGTAACTAGGATGACAGGTATACAACACCGTGCCCAACTTCTTAAACAATCTTAAAGAGAGTCATAGTTATTTTGTAAAATCCCTTTGTTTTTTAAGTTGTTTATAAAGTAATAAAGTGGAACTTTCCACCAATTTTTTATAGGGGATACAGTAAAAGACAGTTTTGGAGATGACTCAATCACAATTGTCCTAGATCATCAAAACACTTGTAAATGGCAAATTCCTTTCATAAAAGGAAGTCTAACAAAGACTATTTCATTTATTTATTTTCTTGACAATATTAATTTTACTAAGTTGAAACATAGGCATTCATGAATACTTTCTTTTTTTAATTTGTTCTAATTAGTTATACATGACAGTAGAACACATTTTGATTCATCATATATAGATGGAGTATAACTTCTCGTTCTTCTGATTGTACATGATGTAAAATTACGCCAGTATGTAATCACATATGTTTATAGGGTAATAATGTCCAATTCATTTTGTAATCCTTCCTACCCCCATACCCCTTCCCCTCCCTTCACTCCCCCCTGTTAAAGTACCTCTATTTTCCCTAGCCACCCCCACCCTTGAATGTGAATTAGCATCTGCATGTCAGAGAAAACATTCTGCCTTTGATTCTCTGGGTTTGGCTTATTTCATTTAGCATGATATTCTCCAGCTCCATCCATTTACTGGCAAATGCCATAGTTTCATTCTTCTTTAAAGCTGAGTAATATATATATATATATATATCACATTTTCTTTATCCATTCATCTACTGAAGGACACCTAGGTTGGTTCCATAGTTTTATCTATTGTAAACTGAGCTGCTATAAACATTGATGCAGCTGCATCACAGTAGTATGCTGATTTTAAATCCTTTGAGTATAAACCAAGGAGTGGGATAACTGGATCAAATGGTAGTTCCATTTCAAGTTTTCTGAGGAATCTCCTTCTGCTTTCCAGGGTGGCTGCACCAATTTGCAGGCCCACCAGCAATGTATGAGTGTACCTTTTCCCCCCACATCCTCATTAACATTAATTGTTGCTTGTATTCATGATAATTGCCATTCTGACTGGAGTCAAATGAAATCTTAGAGTAATTTTGATTTGTGTTTCTCTAATTGCTAGAGATGTTGATGAATTGTATTTCTTTTTCTGTAAAGTGTCTGTTCAGTTCCTTTGCCTGTTTATTGATTGGGTTATTTTTTTTCTGGAGTTTTTTTGAGTGCTTTATATATCCTTAAGATTATTGCTATATCTGAGGTGCATGTAGTAAAGATTTTCTCCCATTCTGTAGGCTCTCTCTTCACAATATTGTTTCCTTTGTTGAGACACTTTCTAGTTTGAATCCCTCCCATTTATTGATTCTTGATTTTACTTCTTGTGCTTGAGGAGCCTTGTTAAGGAAGTCAGGTCCTAAGCCGATGTGATGAAGATTTGGACCTAATTTTTCCTCTGTTAGGCGTAGGGTCTCAGTTCTAGTGTCTAAGTCTTTGATCCACTTTGAGTTGAGTTTCATGCAGGGTGAGAGAAAGAGATTTAATTTTGTTTTACTACATATGGATTTCTAGTTTTCCCAACATCATTTGTTAAAGAGGCTATCTTTTCTCCAGTGTATGTTTTTGGTGCTTTTGTTTAGTAAGGGATAACTGTATTTATGTGTGTTTATCTCTGTGTCTTCTATTTGTACTATTGGTCTATGTGTCTGTTTTGGTGCCAACACCATGCCATTTTTGTTATTATGGCTCCGTAGTATAATTTAAGGTCTGGTATTATGATGCCTCCTGCTTTCACTCTTCTTGCTAAGGATTGCTTTAACTATTCTGGGCCTCTATTTTTCCAAATGAATTTCATGATTGCTTTTTCTAATTCTATGAAGACTGTCATTGGTATTTTAATTAAATCTGTATAATGCATTTGGTAGTATGGCCATTTTGATGATATTAATTCCAAGAGCATGGGAGATCCTTCCATCTTCTAAAATCTTCATTCTTTTTTTTAGTATTCTGTAGTTTTCAGTGTAGAGGACTTTCATCTCATTTGTTACATTGATTCCCAAGGTTTTTTGTGGTTTTTTTTTTTTTGTTGTTGTTGTTGTTTTTGTTGTTGTTGTTTTGAGGCTATTGTGAATGAGGTAGTTTTCCTAATTTCTCTTTCAGTGGATTCATCACTGACATATAGGAACAAGTTTGATTTAAGAGTGTTGATTTTATATCCTGCTACTTTGCTGAATTCATTTATTAGTGCTAGAAGTTTTCTGGTGAAATTTTTTGGATTTTCAAATATAGAATCATGTCATCAGCAAATAGTGATAGTCTGAGTTGTTCTTTTCCTATTCATATCTTTATCTGTTTGGGGTATCAGGGTGATACTAGCCTCAGAATGAGTTTGGAAAGGTCCCTTCCTTTTCTATTTTCATGGATTAATTTGAGGAGTATTTGTGTTAATTCTTCTTTTAAGGTCTTATAGAACTCGGCTGAGAATCTGTCTGGTCCTGGACTTTTCTTGATTGGTAGGCTTTTGATGGCATCTTCTATTTCACTGCTTAAAACTGATCTGTTAAATTGTGTATGTCTTCCTGATTCAGTTTGGGTAGGTCATATGTCTCTAGAAATTTGTTGATGTCACAATGACTATTTGAAATACTTCACTATCCTTTTATTTCATTGTATCAATTTCATTTTTTAAAATATTTATTTTTTAGAAGTAGTTGGACACAATACCTTTATTTTGTTTATTTATTTTTATGTGGTGCTGAGGATCAAACCTAGGGCATCACACATGTTAGACAAGAGCTCTGCCACTGAGCCACAATCCCAGCCCCTCAATTTCATTTTTTCATAAAAAGAAGAGAGCAGATTTTGCATCATTATAACAATATCGCAAACAGTAGTACCATTTTATTTAAGGGGAAGGTAATTCTTAAATAGAATAAATATTTTAAAAAGAAAGACTTGAAATTTAGCTCTCTCAAGATACGATAAAAACTAAAGTTAAGAAATACTAGTAATCCTAGTGGCTTGGGAGGCTAAACCAGGAGGATTGCAAGTTCAAAGCCAGCCTCAGCAACAATGAGGTGCTAAGCAACTTGGTGAGACCCTGTCTCTAAATAAAATACAAAACAGGGCTGGGGAAGTGGCTCAGTGGTTGAGTGCCCCTGAGTTCAATCCCCAGTACTCCCTTGCCCCCCAAAAAAGAAATACCAAAAAACTGCTGGACACAGTGATGCAAATGTATAATCCCAGCAGCTTGGAAGACTGAGGCAG